GTCTCCCTCTCTCTCTGCCCTTCCTCTGCTCATGCTCAGTCTCTCTCTCTCTCGCAAAAAATAAATAAACATTAAAAATAATAATAATAAAATAAAATGTGCTAAAATGACAAGAACCTAGTAATGGTTCTGGGAGTATGAATCAGATCAGAGTTTCTTCCTTTCGTTCTTCCTTTTCTTCCTTCCTTCCTTCCTTCATTTCTGTTTTAATGTTTACTTTTGACAGACAGAGCTCTGTCAGCACAGAGCCTGACACGGGACTTGAACGCATGAACCATGAGATCATGACCTGAGCCAAAGTTGGACGCTTAACCAACTGAGCCTCCCAGGTGTTCCTAGAATTTCTAAGTTTCTACATCACAAACCTAATTAGAGCTTAGGCAAGTTATGAACAATTTAGCCTCAGCTCCTGATTTTACTAATTCCACTCTTTTCCAAGACTTGTGGGAGCATGAGGGCCTACTAAATATTATGAAGGTAAAAGGTAACCTAAAACATAACACAAAATTAAGTTCACTCATTAAAGGTCATTTTAAAAATCCAACTTTATCTGATGGTAAGGTTCCTCAGCCTTGGTACTCCTGACATTTTGGAGTAGAAAATCCTTTGTTATAAGGGGCCATGCTATGCGTTGTAGGATGTTGAACACCAACCTCATCCGGCTGCCGGCAGTACCCTGCCCTGAGTTGTAACAGTTGAGGATGCCTCCAGACATTGCCAAATGTCCCCTGGGGGACGAAATCACCCGCAGTTGAAAGTCACTGTCCTAAAGTGAAATTGCTAGTGTAAATGTGTTTACTTTGGACCCAGCCATGTGATTAAGTCATGGAGTCACTGAAGAGGTTGCTCTACCAAAGAAAGTGGGCACAGAAGTTGAACTGGGAGGTAGAAAAGTCACATTAAAACACCAGAGATAATTTAGGTGTGCCTGGCTGGCTCAGTTGATGAGACATGCAACTCTCGATCTCAGAGTTGTGAGTTTGAGCCCCATGTTGGGTGTGGAGATTACTTATAAATAAAATCTTTAAAAAAAAAAAAAACCACCATCAGAAATAACTTCAACAGAGCAAAAATATCAAACCTAACTCCTTGCAAAGTACACCTTCTACACAATCGATTAGGTTTCCCATTTGCGAAGATCCCTCCTTGTAAACAACAGCTAATATTTCCATTTCAGGTAAGAAAAGTGTTTCTGGTCCTTGATAATTTCTAGTCTTCAACTCTTGATCTAGAACAATAATTTTCAAACTATCTGTGGTAAAAGACCAGTTTTGAGGTTTCCAACCTACTACAGGCCAACACGTGGTCCTGCTGTGTAGTTTGGTATCGAAGAATTCACAGACCAGCTGTCTGGGGGCCACAGTTCGAGTAATACCATTCTGGAGTTCTAACCTCTATTGAGAAGATGATTTAAGCACATTTTGAACTCTTCAATGATTAACATTCACAAGCCAATTTATAATGTTTTTTATTATTATTATTATTATTATTTTTGCTCAAGAGGCAGAAAGGTGATTTCACTACCTTTGGAAACACAAGTAGACTAAAATTAAAGGAAGAAGAAGGGATTTCTTTTAAAAATCCATTTTGGAGGGCGTCTGGCTGGCTCTCAGGGTCATGAGTTCAAGCCCCACGTGGGGTGTGGAGTCTAATTAAAATAAATACATAAATAATTTTTAAAAATCTATCTTTAGGTCTTTATCTTTTTGTCTTATGTCTTTAATATAAGACAAAATCATGAAAGTGCCTTGAATATCCCTTAATCCCTAATATTTCCTGCTCTTCAGCCTTTTAAAGAAGTATAGCCTCTTCTGTTAGAATAACTGTGTTGGCTGCAAAGATTTTAAAAACATGTTCTTCTACCAATCTTCTCTTTCCCTCCAGAGGATCTTTTAAAAGGTAAAAGATGTGTCTGACTCTTGATCTCAGCGCAGGTAATGACCCCATGGTTTGTGAGATCGAGCCCTGCATCAGGCTCTGGGCTAATATCCCGGAGCCTGCTTGGGATCCTTTCTCCCCTCTTTCTCTGCCCCTTCCCTCTACTCACTCTCTCTCTCTCTCTCTCTCTCTCTCTCAAAATAAATAAATAAACTTTAAAAGGCAAACGATTTAGAAATATAACTTGTTTATACAGGCTCACACTTTCCCTCCAATTAAAGTTCTATTCATAATCGAAGTAGAAGGCCGTCAGCAGGGGCTACATTTCCACATTACACAGCAGCGGCTCTTGAAAATGGCAGGAAAACACAGGGAAGGGGTTTGAGTTTCATCCAAATGACTTGTTTTATGATCACAAAACAGGTTATCTGTGTGTGCAGACCAGTCAGATCCCAAACTAAACAGGGAAACCACCCAGACTTGGGCTCACAGTCTCCTTTCTCAGGACTAACTTAAAGTTGAACTTAGCTGGGCAAGTCAGAGTGCCCAGGAGTCTCTCAGCTCATTTCCATGCTTGCGTGCACATAAATACTCCCAGCCATTAAAACTGAAGTCTTAGAAGTATCTTTACCCTCATGGAGCCAAACAGCCCTGCCTGCCTTGTATCAGTGAAGCTTTGTCTTTGAGACTTCACCAGAGGGGCTCCTGGGTGGCTCAGTTGTTTAAGCGTCCAACTTCGGTTCATGGGTTCAAGCCCCATGTGGGGCTCTGTGCTGACAGCTCGGAGCCTGGAGCCTGCTTCGGATTCTGTGTCTACCTCTCTCTCTGCCCCTCCCCCACTCGTGCTCTGTCCTTCTGTCTCTCAAAAATAAATAAATGTTAAAAAAAAAAATACTTCACCAGAAAATTAAAATATGGAATCCATCAGGAGAAGCTTGGCAAAGGTAAGACTGATGTCAAAATATTTTTGCCTACATTTCCAGAGAAAAAAGCTGACAAAAAAAAAAAAAA